AATGAAATATCAGCTGAAAATACAGCATCTTGGTATTTGTTCAGATTGCAGGATCAACAAGAGCTTTTACCACATTTTTTGCCTCATGGTTGAATTGGAAATATGTGCAGCTGAGCATAATTCACAACAAGCAAGCAGGAGCTTTTGATAGAGGCTACTGAAAACATTGATGCAAGTTATTGGTAATAAGAAATTTTTATAGACTTCCATATTCTGCCCTCTTGTATAGATTTGTGAAAATGAACAGTGAGACATTTTGCCTGAAAACAGAATTTGAAAATAATTTCTAGAAAAGGTGAACACAGCTATCTGTATGGCTTTGTAAAAATGAACAACCATATTCTGGCCAATTGTATAGATTTGTAAATATGAACAACCATATTCTGGCCAATTGTATAGATTTGTAAAAATGAACATGAACAGATTATTATTATTTTTTAACTTTTTTTTAAATGAAAAATAACTATTTTAAACAACATCAACTGTGAACTGATTTGGGCGTGTGTGTGTTAAAGAGACAGACAGGGAGGGACAAAGAGAGAGGCTACATTACTTGTACTGAAACTGTTCTCTTCTCTCTTTCAATGCAGCAAAGCGGTCAATGACTTTCTCATTGAAATCAGGCATGCTGAGGACTAGTTCACTCTCCATGGAAAGCATGGCCAGTGCATTCAGACGTTCCTGGCCCATTGAATGGCAAAAAGACCGTTCAGTCTCTCCAAAAGCACACTGGCGATTGAGACTGAGGTTGATTCCGAGATGGGAAGGAACTCAAAAAAGCGCTCCTGCACTTTGTGGTTGCTATCTATGTACCTCAGCATAAGCACCAGCTGTATCTGTGTAGAAACGTCCGTGGTCTCGTCAGCTTGGATAGCTACGAAGTTCGCCGACTTCACCTCCTCCACAATATGTTCCCTCATGACCGCTAGCATACACTCCAGTTACAGTAGCTCGTTTTGAATGGTCTTTGATGTGAACTTCTTTCAAAGAGACAATCGAGTTGCACTGAAGGCTAGCCATCTTGATAGTAGTACGTGAATTGATTGACGCTGCTACCCGCTCTTTTCTTAGTTACGTTCATGGTTATGTTACGTATGACGAAAGCGCGTAAGTGCAAGCCCTCAGAAACCCATAGAGATTGTATTGAAAGCTCTGATATTTGAAAAAAAAAGATTTTACATGACAGGCTATGAGAGACTTCTGGGCGATTTTCAACCTGACTGAAATCGCCCCAAAAGGGGCGGGGCCATTTGAAGCACGACTTTAGCCTGATTGGACATTTAGTGGCAGATCAGACGTCTAGATTAGAACACTGATAACTACTGTTGCTGTGATATAATTGATTAGAAAAAAAATCCCTTCCTTTTCCCGTTTGGCAGTGCGTCGCCCATATCGCCCTAATGAACACACCGCCCCTGCCCGAGAAACTCATCATAACAATAGTAAAAATAAAGAAAAACCCTTGAATGAGTAGGTGTGTCCAAACTTTTGACTGGTACTGTACATATGAACCCGGTTTACACCTGTGGCTGTGTTCCAATACTCTGATAAACTAGGTCTACCCTTGTGACTATTCAGCAAAACTCACATAAACCAGGTCTACCATTGTGCAAGAGACACTAAACAAACCTATTGACATTAAAATATGTGTTAAGTTATTACACTAATTCAGTTTATGGGTCAATTATGACCAATTCCCCTTGAAATAACAACATATGATGTTTTACAGTCAAAATCACGGATTTAAACACATGTAATGCTAATGGATAATAGTAAAATCATCTGTAAAATAATCTTGATCAAGTATATCCATAACCCAACTCAACTTCAATCTACTGAAAAAATAAAGAATCTCCTGTGATTAAATATACTGTATATAATAAATTAGAGCCACTTTCCCATTGGTCACAAATGTGACCGCTAAGATATTTTAATATACTGTACCACAAGCATCCATGGATTCAATGTATTGAAAATGAAGGCACATATGTAAACTAGACCCTTTAATCATTATATACTGAACAAAAATATAAACGCAACATGCAACAATTTCAAAGATTTTACTGAGTTACAGTTTATATAAGGAAATCAGTCAATTGAAATAAATAAATTAGGCCCTAATCTATGGATTTCACATGACTAGGCATAGGCCCACCCACTTAGCAGCCAGGCCCATCCACTGGGGAGCCAGGCCCAGCCAATCAGAATGAGTTTTTCCGCACAAAGGGGCTTTATTACAGACAGATATACTCCCCACCCCCCCTCAGACGACCCCATAGGTGAAGAAGCCGGATGTGGAGGTCCTGGGCTGGCGTGGTTACACGTGGTCTGCGGTTGTGAGGCCGGTTGGACGTACTGCCAAATTCTCTAAAACTACATTGGAGGCAGGTTATGGTAGAGAAATTAACATTAAATTCTCTGGCAACAACTCTGGTGGACATTCCTGCAGTCATTGTGCCAATTGCACGCTCCCTCTAAACTTGAGAAATCTGTGGCATTGTGTTGTGTGACAAAACTGCACAATTTAAAGTGGCCTTTTATTGTCCCAGCACAAGGTGTACCTGTAATGATCATGCTGTTTAATTATCTTCTTGATATGCCAAGCCTGTCAGGTGGATCGATTATCTTGGCAAAGGAGAAATGCTCACTAACAGGGATATAAACACATTTGTGCACAGAATTTGAGAGAAATAAGCTTTTATTTCAGCTCATGAAACATGGGACCAACACTTTACATACACTTTACATACACAAAGAAAATATTTTAAAATTTCAACAATGTATTTGCTTTTTAAGATGTTGAATACAGACTTCTGGTGCCAAATTCGTCTGTGAAAGTACACCTTGGAGATTTATGCTTGTGGTCTTGTGACCATTTTGAGAAATCATATGAAACTTCTCTGAATCATACTAGACCCCTTTATAATGCATAATATATACCACATTTGTTGATAAGTACAACTTTAACTTCTCTAGAGCCTGTAACGTACAAAAGTGTTTTTTCTTCACTATTGCGACTGATGGGATTAAATGGGTTAATATCACAGAGTTTCTAAACCCAGAGGCGCAACATCGAGAGACTTCCGGGAACGCTTGCGAAACAGACTCATCAGAAGAAGGCCGGGGGTTTGGGCTTGAAGTCAATGGCCGTGTTCGAGAGGTTCAAACCCGTAATGCATGGGAACATGGTGACTGACTGATCTACAAATAATAATAAGTAGTTATTTATGATGCAAAGTTAATTGTAGATCAGCCAGTCAACAGTCGCCTGCAATGTCGGCTGCGATGTTGAACAAGCCCAATCAGAGAAGTGAAACATTATTAATGTTAATTTTCTCGAAATCTAAAGGCGCAACCTAGATTCGAGCCAATGTCTTTAGTAGTTGAACATGTTATTACCCCAACCTCGTGAAAGTGACAAACTGACACGTTTTCATTTTCGTCAAAAACTACTTTTTATGTCGAAGTAGTGCCTTTTACGGCCTGCACATGCACAGTTCTGCGCGAGACGACCGTTAAACCCGATGACTTGTTTCTGCACATGAGTTTAGCTAGCCAACGTCGCAATGACATCGCCTACAAGCGTTATGGGGGATCGCTATTGGAGAAGCAGTTTCTGCCTAGCTATCCTCAAACTGTGCTGTCTTTGTTAATATTCTCTGACGCTAGTCACTCACTCACTCATTTTGCCTGGGCGCTGAGGGCGGATGAAAACGGCTACACAGAGCTATGTAAACTGCGGGCGTAAAAATTAGCTAATTAGTTAGCTTGACACTTATTATGGATTTTCTTTGAAGTTGCTTTTTTATTTTTTTTGCGAGCAAATGTAGCTTGCTAGCTTCCGTTAGCCAGTAAGCTTATTTTTCATGTTTCCAGGTGACTAGCGACAAGACTCAGCTGAAGTGTGTTGTTGTGAATTAACCATCGTTCTGGATCATTCAATACTTATTTTTATTAAATGTTTTGCAATGCAGCTAACTGACATGTCTAACGTTATTGTTGTTAGCTAACTCGCTAAATTCATGACCGCTATGGCTTCAGCAACTGGCACAACTGGTTCCAAGGGGTGTAATGAATGACACAGCGGCGGGGTATAACGCGTAGCTTGGAGCGCGCTAGTTTGACGCTTGGCAGCGGAAACATATTTTAACTAGCTAAGTTTTCATTGTACGCGACCCTTGTGGTGCACAGATACGATGGCAGACAGCGCTCGAGCCAAGAATGATAATTCCAAAATGGAAAGCCCAAGCGTTAGCCCCTTGTCCGGGAGGGAAAAGCCTCAACAGTCCCCTGGCTCTCGCTCAAGGTACCAGGTCAGCGCACCCGGACACTGTTTTAGGAAAGTGACTCTCACCAAACCAACGTTCTGCCACAGCTGCAGTGATTTCATATGGGGTCTTATCGGATTCATTTGTGAAGGTAGGTTGGTTTACATGAGAACATGACAGTTGTTTTTGTTTCTTCACTTGACCAGACTATTTGAGTTGAAACCGCTCAACTGAAATGTCAAATGTATTTGACATTGGGGAATTCACTCTGAATTGTTGAATGGATGCACAAACTGAAGCATTTGGAGCTTAAATAAAGCTTATATGTTCTAAACGTTTCTAGATATTGTCATCATGTACAGTATATTCATAGAGCAGTACTCGAATGATGGCATGCTTGTGTGTGTCATTGTGTGTGCGAGTGGAGAAGCTGTGTGTGTGTGTGAGTGAGAGAGAGAGTGTGTCCAACGAGTTTGTTTGTGTTTGGAAAATCACTGCGGCTTTTGGGGCTATACCATCGTCATGCACAGACTGACACTGTGATTCTATCAATTAATGTGAATTTAGTAAAGTCCCTCTCTTTGCCTAAATGATTTATCCATCATAGTTGACATCTGAAAATGTGGCTCACATGAAAAAGATTGAAAACGTGAATAGAACATTTAGTAAGCGAAGCTACCCCTCGCTTAGCACTAAAGCATATAGGAGCAGCACTGCACAACACAACAGAAGATGATGGATAACAGTAAGTGTTAACCATGCAGAGTGACGAGGAGAGATTCAAAGCCTCTTTTGCGCAATCAGCTGCAGTGAAGTCATGATATACTTTAACTGGTCGGCATGGCAACAGGGGACTGGATTCTGGAGAGCAGAGGCAGAGCATCTGTAAAAGCAAAACACCCTAGACACAGCATAAAAAAATTATAATGCTACAATGGTGCTATATTTTAGACTATGTGCCCACTTAAATGCAGTAACATCCTATTTGTTAATGTGTCAAATTGATGCAAAACTATGCTAGACTAGTACCTGAAGCGTACACTGCATTCGCCTCCATGAATGTGGCTGCTTCTCATACACTCTTGTTGTTAGACAGGTTGCCTTATTAGTACACTTGTACTATGCTATCTAGCCCATAATATCTCAGTAGATGTATTGTGCTGGGTATGGCCTGGTACAAGGAAAAGGACCTATCAGAGATGTTCTTCAAAGAGGGCAATGGACGGACAAGGACTAAAGCCTCCCTAACCAGCTTGAGGTCGACTGCTCCTTTGTGACGAACCTCTGCTTCTTTCAACACAGTTTGAATATAGACCCCGAGCCATAACCTTGTCAGGAACCACTTTCAGTAGTCGTTTCTATAAACCACAAGTAGGCCTATGTAATACACTTTGACTGAGTTTGAAGATATGTGCATCTATTAGGCTACTGTGAATGCTTAGCAAACACCATAATGCATTATTGGATGAAGGCATTACTAATGCATTCATAATGCATTAGCCTATACAAAGGCAGTGTTTCCCTTAGGATTTATTTCAGCAGGGGTGGTAAAAGGACATTCTACTCCAAAATGCATAAACATTTAATTATGTTCTCTTCCTTTGAAACTCATCTGAAAATTGAGGACAGTTAAATTTTATATCTTGATCTCAATGACATCACCAGCCGATTCTATATTAACAAAAAATGAAAATTAGCTAGCATTTCGTTACTGTATCTTAGCTAGCGGTGCACGGCTGCTAAATGAATATAGGGGAAACACTGAAAGATGGTTCATAGACAATGTTACAACAAAATCGAATTACAAGAATATGAATGGTACTTTGGATAGCCTAGTTATTGATGCTCCTGATGCTCCTCAACTGACTGACTCTGTTATTTGGTGTCTCCTCCCACCCCTAGTGTGTAACTTTATGTGTCATGAGAAGTGCCTGAAGACTGTGAGGACTGTGTGTTCATGCATGGCCCCGACACTGGTGCGGGTGAGTGACACTGACACCATAAGGTTACACTGCTCTGTTACTGCTTGTGATCTGATGGATGACTGCATGCTCCTGTTGAGTGCACGCTGGCACGGCAATCCTTTGTCATGGTGTTTTTGATCATATTCCTTTTTTGTCCATTTGTGAACTTCAGGTCCCTGTCGCCCATTGCTTTGGTCCAGCAGGGCAGAAAAAGAGATTATGCTGTGTGTGTCGAAAGCATCTGGAGGGAAACACTGCTGTTCGCTGTGAAGGTTGGTTTTTTAAGAGCTTTCACAGCGTACAATGCACATACGACCCATGGCACAATGTACAGTACCAGTCAAAAGTTTGGACACACCTACTCATTCCAGGGTTTTTCTTTATTTTTACTATTTTCTACATTGTAGAATAATAGTGAAGACATCAAAACTATGAAATAACACATAATGGAATCATGTAGTAACCAAAAAATAGTTACCCTTTGCCTTGATGACAGCTTTGCACACTCTTGACATTCTCTCAACCAGCTTCATGAGGTAGTCACCTGGAATGCATTTCAATTAACAGGTGTGCCTTCTTAAAAGTGAATTTGTGGAATTTCTTTCCTTAATGCGTTTGAGCCAATCAGTTGTGTTGTAACAAGGTAGGGGGGGGGGTATACAGAAGATAGCCCTATTTGGTCAAATACCAAGTCCATATTATGTCAAGAACAGCTCAAATAAGCAAAGAGAAACGACAGTCCATTATTACTTTAAGACATGAAGGTCAGTCAATACGGAACATTTCAAGAACTTTGAAAGTTTCTTCAAGTGCAGTCGCAAAAACCATCAAGCACTATGATGAAACTGGCTCTCCCTCTGCTGCAGAGGATAAGTTCATTAGCCTCAGAAATTGCAGCCGAAAGAAATGCTTCACAGAGTTCCAAGTAACAGACACACCTCAACATCAACTGTTCAGAGGGGACTGTGTGAATCAGGCCTTCATGGTCGAATTGCTGCAAAGAAACCACTACTAAAGGACACCAATTAGAAGAAGACTTGCTTGGGCCAAGAAACACGAGCAATGGACATTAGACCGGTGGAAATCTGTCCTTTGGTCTGGAGTCCAAATTGGAGATTTTTGGTTACAACCGCTGTGTCTTTGTGAGATGCGGTGTGGGTGAATGGATGATCTCCGCATGTGTGGTTCCCACCGTGAAGCATGGAGGAGGAATTATGGTGTGGGGGTGATTTGCTGGTGAAACTGTCTGTGATTTATTTAGAATTCAAGGCACACTTAACCAGCATGGCTACCACAGCATTCTACATTGATACGCCATCCCATCTGGTTTGGGCTTAGTGGGACTATCATTTGTTTTTCAACAGTAAAATGACCCAACACACCTCCAGGCTGTGTAATGGCTATTTTACCAAGAAGGAGAGTAATGAATGGCCTCCACATTACCCCGACCTCAACCCAATTGAGATCGTTTGGGATGAGTCGGACCGCAGAGTGAAGGAAAAGCAGCCAACAAGTGCTCAGAATATGTGGGAACTCCTTCAAGACTATTGGAAAAGCATTCCAGGTGAAGCTGGTTGAGGGAATGCCAAGAGTGTGCAAAGCTGTCATTTTTTAAAATGTATTTTAAAATTTAACCTTTATTTAACTAGGCAAGTCAGTTAAGAACAAATTCTTATTTACAATGACGGCCTACACCGGCCAAACCCGGACGACGCTGGGCCAATTGTGCGCCGCCCTATGGGACTCCCAATAACGGCCGGTTGTGATACAGCCTGGAATCGAACTGGGGGTCTGTAGTGACGCCTCAAGCACTGAGATGCAGTGCCTTAGACTGCTGCGCCACTCGGGAGCAAAGGGTGGCTATTTGAAGAATCTCAAATATAAAATATATTTTGATTTGTTTAACACTTTCTTGTTTACTACATGATTTCATATGTGTTATTTCATAGTTTTGATGTCTTCACTATTATTCTACAATGTAAAAATAAAGAAAAACCCTTGATTTTTGACTGGCAGTGTACATGCAACTTATGGCCAAAGTTTTGCAGGTTCACTTAGTAGAAGTGTACAGGTCACGATGTTACAAATGAGTGAAATCTAGCAAGCTAAACCTCAGCGTATGTGTACATAAGCAACATGGCAAAGTTAACGCACAAGTTTATACACACTAAGTACATTCTATGTACATTCAAATTATATTTCAACTTCCTCTGAGGAAATCTGATTGGGAGCTCGTCCATCAGTGGTAGTAGTGACTTTGACAGAAGTAATGTAACCATTGGTTCTGGTTTCAGTTTGTGAGCTGCATGCCCACTCTGACTGTGCTGCGTTCAGTTGTGGCGACTGCCGTCTCTGCCACCAGGATGGGAGTCAGGACATTGTAAGTATCACAAGCCTTCTGTCTAAAAGGTGTATTCTGTTCACAACTTTCATTTAATTCTCCCAGTGGCATGTTAAGATACTATAAACTCATTAGGCCAAGAAGCAAAACAGAAGACAAGTGCAGGGGTAGCACTTTTGAGTTAAAATGAAAGTTACAGATTGTAGCTTTAAAGGTCCAATGCAGCCGTTTTTATCTCAATATCAAATCACTTCTGGGTAACAATTAAGGAGCTTGTTGTGATTGTTTTCAATTAAAATGGTCAAAAAGAAACAAAAATAGCTTCTTAGCAAAGATACATTTCTTAAGCAAGATCTTTGCTAGGACTGTCTGGGAGTGGTCTGAGTGGGGAGGGGAAACTGAAAAGTAGCAGTTATTGGCAGAGCGGTTTGGAACTCTCTTTCTTATTGGTCTAATAACTAATTTACTACCTGTTGATGTCACCAGGCAGGGCAAAACTCCATCCCACCAAAACAGGCTGAAATTTCAGGCAGTATTTCACAGTATTATTCCAACCTCATAGTGTGGAAATATATATAAAACACAGGAAAATCACATTTTTGACTGCACTGGGCACTTACCACTTATCACCTGCCACTGTTAAGGGAGGAATCCTCTTGAGCCAAAGAGTTCCATAGAGAGGCTTCGGGGCCTGATTCTGAGCAATCACACTGGAACGACCTAAGAGAAATGATGTTTGGAAGTTTGGTCCTTTTAGATTGACATAAAAACACATCCAACAGGATAATGAGTTTATTCCTATGTTGTGACTGGTCTACTTATCTTGCTTATTGTAACACCTCTCTCTCTGTTGTCTTTTTAAAAAATCCTCTTGTCCAAGGATTCGTTCCCCCACCATTGGCGGGAGGGGAACATTCCTTCAGGTGCACGCTGTGAGGTCTGCCGACGCACCTGTGGCTCCTCAGACGTCCTGGCGGGGATGCGGTGTGAGTGGTGTGGTATTACGGTAAGACTCAAAACGAAAATAAAAGGACCGCCACTAAAAAACAACTGTAGCTAATAATGCCATATAGCATGTTGCATGGGCTTGTTTCAACAGCGTTTGTGTCATACTTTGCAGACACACGCTGCCTGTTATCTCATCGTGCCACCAGAGTGCGGCCTGGGACGGCTACGCAACATGCTCCTTCTCCCCGCTTGCGTGCGAATATGCTCGAGGAACTTTAGCAAGATGCACTGCTACCGCATCTCTGAGAGCTGCCAGAATGAGCTGGGTAAGCTTGTCTCCACCATTCATTACCCCTCCCCCTACCCAAAGCCACATCTTCTCAGCAACTGTTTCACTCACAGAAATGTACATACAAAGGAATATTAAACAGTGTACACAAAAAATATACACATTGGAAACTATACTGAACAAAAATATAAACGCAACATGTAAACTGTTGGTCCCATGTTTCATGAGCTGAAATAAAATATTCCAGAAATGTTCCATATGCACAAACATTTGTTTACATCCCTGTTAGTGAGCATTTCTCCTTTGCCAAGATAATCGATCCATCTGACAGGTGTGGCATATGAAGAAGCTGATTAAACAACATGATCATTACACAGGTGCACCTTGTGCTGGGGACAATAAAAGGCCAGTCTAAAATGTATAGTTTTGACACACAACACAATGCCACAGAAAGCAAATTACGGACTCCTCTTTGAATCTGCGTATTCCTCCAGGGCTTAGCTGTCCTGGATCTGCACAGCTCTGCGAGGGCCTGGGATCGGGAGAGACACTTAAGTGTTTTAGTACTATATCTCTTGACACAATGATGAAAATAATCATGGCCTCTAAACCTTCAAGCTGCATACTGGATCCTATTCCTACTAAACTGCTGAAGGAACTGCTTCCTGTGCTTGGCCCTCCTATGTTGAACATAATAAACAGCTCTCTATCCACCGGATGTGTACCAAACTCACTAAAAGTGGCAGTGATAAAGCCTCTCTTGAAAAAGCCAAACCTTGACCCGGAAAATATAAAAAACTATCGGCCTATATCGAATCTTCCATTCCTCTCAAAAATTTTAGAAAAAGCTGTTGCGCAGCAACTCACTGCCTTTCTGAAGACAAACAATGTATACGAAATGCTTCAGTCTGGTTTTAGACCCCATCATAGCACTGAGACTGCACTTGTGAAGGTGGTAAATGACCTTTTAATGGCGTCAGACCGAGGCTCTGCATCTGTCCTCGTGCTACTAGACCTTAGTGCTGACTTTGACACCATCGATCACCACATTCTTTTGGAGAGACTGGAAACCCAAATTGGTCTACACGGACAAGTTCTGGCCTGGTTTAGATCCTACCTGTCGGAAAGATATCAGTTTGTCTCTGTGAATGGTCTGTCCTCCGACAAATCAACTGTACATTTCGGTGTTCCTCAAGGTTCCGTTTTAGGACCACTATTGTTTTCACTATATATTTTACCTCTTGGGGATGTTATTCGAAAACATAATGTTAACTTTCACTGCTATGCGGATGACACACAGCTGTACATTTCAATGAAGCATGGTGAAGCCCCAAAATTGCCCTCGCTAGAAGCCTGTGTTTCAGACATAAGGAAGTGGATGGCTGAAAACTTTTTACTTTTAAACTCGGACAAAACAGAGATGCTTGTTCTAGGTCCCAAGAAACAAAGAGATCTTCTGTTAAATCTGACAATTCATCTTGATGGTTGTAAAGTCGTCTCAAATAAAACTGTGAAGGACCTAGGCGTTACTCTTGACCCTGATCTCTCTTTTGACGAACATATCAAGACTGTTTCAAGGACAGCTTTTTTCCATCTACGTAACATTGCAAAAATCAGAAATTTTCTGTCCAAAAATGATGCAGAAAAATTAATCCATGCATTTGTTACTTCTAGGTTAGACTACTGCAATGCTCTATTTTCCGGCTACCCGGATAAAGCACTAAATAAACTTCAGTTAGTGCTAAATACGGCTGCTAGAATCCTGACTAGAACCAAGAAATTTGATCATATTACTCCAGTGCTAGCTTCCCTACACTGGCTTCCTGTTAAGGCAAGGGCTGATTTCAAGGTTTTACTGTTAACCTATAAAGCGTTACATGGGCTTGCTCCTACCTATCTTTCCGAGTTGGTCCTGCCGTACATACCAATACGTACGCTACGGTCACAAGACGCAGGCCTCCTAATTGTCCCTAGAATTTCTAAGCAAACAGCGGGAGGCAGGGCTTTCTCCTATAGATCTCCATTTTTATGGAACAGTCTGCCTACCCATGTGAGAGACGCAGACTCGGTCTCAACCTTTAAGTCTTTACTGAAGACTTATCTCTTCAGTAGGTCATATGATTGAGTGTTGTCTGGCCCAGGAGTGTGAAGGTGAACGGAAAGGCTGGAGCAACGAACAGCCCTTGCTGTCTCTGCCAGGCCGGTTCCCCTCTCCACTGGGGTTCTCTGCCTCTAACCCTGTTGCAGGGGCTGAGTCACTGGCTTGCTGGTGCTCTTTCATGCCGTCCCTGGGAGGGGTGCGTCACTTGAGTGGGTTGAGTTACTGACGTGATCTTCCTGTCTGGGTTGGCGCCCCCCCCTTGGTTTGTGCTGTGGTGGAGACCTCTGTGGGCTATACTCGGCCTTGTCTCAGGATTGTAAGTTGGTGGTTGGGGATATCCCTCTAGTGGTGCGGGGGCTGTGCTTTGGCGGAGTGGGTGGGGTTATATCCTTCCTGTTTGGCCCTGTCCGGGGGTTTCTTCGGATGGGGCCACAGTGTCTCCGGACCGCTCCTGTCTCAGCCTCCAGTATTTATGCTGCAGTAGTTTATGTGTCGGGGGGCTGGGGTTAGTTGGTTATACCTGGAGTACTTCTCCTGTCTTATCCAGTGTCCTGTGTGAATGTAAGTATGCTCTCTCTAATTCTCTCGTTCTCTCTTTCTCTCTGAGAACCTGAGCCCTAGGACCATACGTCAGGACTACCGGGCATGATGACACCTTGCTGTCCCCAGTCCGCCTGGCCTTGCTGCTATTCCAGTTTCAACTGTTCTGCCTGCGGCTACGAAACCCCTACCTGTCCCAGACCTGCTGTTTTCAACTCTTAATGATCGGCTATGAAAAGCCAACTGAGAGACCTGAGCCCTAGGACCATACGTCGGGACTACCGGCCGTGGTGACTCCTTGCTGTCCCCAGTCCGCCTGGCCTTGCTGCTATTCCAGTTTAAACTGTTCTGCCTGCGGTTATGGAACCCCTACCTGTCCCAGACCTGCTGTTTTCAACTCTTAATGATCGGCTATGAAAAGCCAACTGAGATTTATTCCTGATTATTATTTGACCATGCTTGTCACTTATGAACATTTTTGAACATCTTGGCATGGTTCTGTTATAATCTCCACCCGGCACAGCCAGAAGAGGACTGGCCACCCCTCATAGCCTGGTTCCTCTCTAGGTTTCTTCCTAGGTTTTGCCTTTCTAGGGAGTTTTTCCTAGCCACCGTGCTTCTACACCTGCATTACTAGCTGTTTGGGGTTTTAGGCTGGGTTTCTGTACAGCACTTCGAGATATTAGCTGATGTAAGAAGGGCTATATAAAATAAAATTGAAAATTGATTGATTAAGTTTTGAGGGAGCGTGCAACTGGCATGTCCAACAGAGCTGTTGCCAGAGAATTGAATGTTAATTTCACTACCATAAGCCGCCTCCAACGTCGTTTTAGAGAATTTGACAGTACGTCCAACCGGCCTCACAACCGCAGATCACGTGTAACCACGCCAGCCCAGGACCTCCACATCCGGCTTCTTCACCTGCGGGATCATCTGAGACCAGCCACCCGGACAGCTGATGAGACTGTGGGTTTGCACAACCAAATAATTTCTGCACAAACTGTCAGAAACCGTCTCAGGGAATATCATCTGCGTGCTCACCAGGGTCTTGGCCTGACTGCAGTTCGCCATCGTAACCGACTTCAGTGGCCAAATGCTCACCTTCGATGGCCACTGGCACGCTGGAGAAGTGTGCTCTTCACGGATGAATCCCGGTTTCAACTGTACCGGGCAGATGGCAGACAGCGTGTATGGCGTCATGTGGGCAAGCGGTTTGCTGATGTCAACGCTGTGAACAGAGTGCCCCATGCTGGCTGTGGAGTTGTGGTATGGGCAGGCATAAGCTATGGTAACGAACACAATGGCATTTTATCGATGGCATTTTGAATGCACAGAGATACCGTCACGAGATCCTGAGGCACATTGTCGTGCCATTCATCCGCCGCAATCACCTTATGTTTCAGCATGGTAATGCACGGCCCCATGTTGCAAGGGTCTGTACACAATTCCTGGAAGATGAAAATGTCTCAGTTCTTCCATGGCCTGCATACTCACCAGACATGTCACCCATTGAGCATGTTTGGGATGCTCTGGATTGACGTGTACGACAGCGTTTTCCAGTTCCCGCCAATATCCAGCAACTTTGCACAGCCACCGAAGAGGAGTGGGACAACATTCCACAGGCCACAATCAACAGCCTGATCAACTCTATGCAAAGGAGACGTGTCGCGCTGCATGAGGCAAATGGTGGTCACACCAGATACTGACTGGTTTTCTGATCCACGCCCACACTTTTTTTTTGAAGGTATCTGTGAACAACAGAGGCATATCTGTATTCCCAGTCATATGAAATCCATAGATTAGGGCCTAATGAACTTTTTTCAATTGACTGATTTCCTTATATGAACTATAACTCAGTAAAATCTTTGAAATTGTTGCATGTTGCGTTTATAATTTGGTTCAGTGTAAATCAAGAAAATGAGTTTCCAGTATGATATTGTAAGACTGCTAACTCCACATAGTCAACTTTTCACTCCCTTTGTAAGCATTCGCACTTGGGCACCTAGGCTGCCAGGAATGACAGGTGCCTGGAGCAAGTGTCAACTTATTGTTGGTCACTTGTTCTAGGTCAGGCAAGATGAGTCACAAGCCATTTGTCAAGCAAGATGAGCAATGGTGAACTGTGCTGGGCTTTAACCTGAAATGAAAAAGGCATCCATGCTTCAGTAGACTGTTTACACACAGAAGTGAAACAATGTGAAAGTATGTGGGAAAAACCTGTAGCAAATGCAACGCTCATTCTATTTCCTCATTGTTTCCTTTCACGTACCTATAACTTGAACTTTGCTTTATCAGATAACTTGGAAGAACTTGACAGACCTACAAAGGAGTGCCAGCCGGCAACCACACCAGATTCAGGTAGATACAGGATGAGTTGTCACACTGTATTTAGCCAAGCATGTCCCCTTGTGATCATTGAAGTCACATGTAAACATATAAGATTATTCCCATGTTTCAGCTCGAAAAGAGATTCCCTAACGTTTCTGGTTTAAAGCTATTTTAACATGCTTTAGCTCTGCTATTTGGAGCATGACACTGAGCTAACAGGGGTCCTACCGCTCCTGATGTTCTGCAGCATTAGCTAGTGCTTAGTTATCAAATCCAAATCTACCCTAATCCTAATTATACAGGTCCATAGAATTGACCACGTTGGTCTAAAGAGTGTGTTTTTTTGCAAACTGCAGGGAAGCAGGTTCTCAGGGTGTTTGATGGGGATGATGCAGTCAAGCGCAGCCACTTCCGTTTGGTCTCCATTCCTCGGATGACCAAGAATGAGGAAGTGGTGGTGAGATTCTCCCCATTCCCTAAAACCAGATTGACACTGGATTAATTAAGTGCTTCATTGTTTTAAGAGTGCATTCATTTCTGTTACCACAACTCCTACTACTACCACTGTAATACTGCTCTAATATTGCTGAACTACTACAGCAACAACTACTAATAGTATTTCTACTATCATCACCAATACTACCGCAGTACTATCACTAGTAACATCTATAATGATAATAACAATAGTTTTGAACAACCTAATCCAAGGTGGCCAACCCTCCTGGAGAGCTACTGGGTATGCAGGCTTTGGCTCCACCCCTGCTCTAACACACTTGATTAATCTAATAAAGGTTTCTAAGAGCAGCAATAGAGTTAAAGCCTGCACATCCAATAGGTCTCTCCAGGACGAGGGTCACCAGCTCCTAATCTCATCCTTGTCTGCAGGAGTCAGCGTTGAGGGCCTTCTACATCCCAGATGACCCGCTGGACTATGAGCTCCAAGACAACGACCAGCAGGCTCTACACAGCGACGACGTCGTCAACCGTAACGGCACCCCCGACAACAAGGCCATCTTTAAGGAGAATGTGCCCGAGGCATGGCTCCTAAGGGCCAAACCTCAGGAAACAGAGGTCCTCAAGATCTATGCCGGCTGGCTCAAGTGAGTACTGTATGGGGAAACTGCTCAGTCATGGCGTAAATTAGTGATGCGTGGGTCAGCTGTTTGTTCACCTGCACCCGCCCGCAATTGCTAATAACCCATTCGCAACCACCCCACCATATGTGATAAAGGGAAAATCTGAGGACTGCACCCGACCCTAACCCGCTAATATAGAAAATGCGCTGTAGGTTACAGTCTAAGACGGCAGAACGATTTTGACAGGGGGTGCAGGATTTTTTTGGCCTGTTTCTGCTTATAATTGCCAAGCTATTTGTTAGTCAACTTGTCTATAATTAGATACATGCAGCTTCTCTTCTGTCATTATATGTTGCCCTGGAAGACTAAATAAACTCTTGCTCATCAAAATAATGTCATAAATCAATAGAATGAATGCTTCAATCTGAACAAAAATATAAAACGCAACATGCAACAATTTCAAAGATTTTACTGAGTTACGGGTCATTTGAGGAAATTAGTCAATTGAAGTAAATTCTATTCTGTAGGAGTTCATATTAAGGCTATGTGAGAGGTTATAGACCTACGGTCACGATCGTCGTCCGAGTGAGTAGACCAAGGCGCAGCGTGTGAAACAAACATGACTTTATTTAATTAAAGTTATCAAAACAAAACACGACTCGTGAAGTCCACGGTTAACAATACCGACACGGAACAAAAACCCACAACACCCAAGGGAAAACATACAGTTTAAATATGGCTCCCAATCAGAGACAACCAGCCGACAGCTGACACTCGTTGCCTCTGATTGGGAGTCACACAGGCAAACAAAGACATAGAACAACTTAGAATACCCAACATAGAAAATGGACACATAGAATGAACACACCCTGGCTCAACATATAGAGTCCCAGAGCCAGGGTGTGACAGTACCCCCCCCTAAAGGCGCGGACTGCGACCGCGCCTCAACTAAAGCAAAACAGGGGAGGGCTGGGCGGGCATACCTCCTCGGCGGCGGCTCCGGCTCCGGGCTTGCCCACCACCCTCCAACAAACCCCCCATAGCGCCCCTGGTCCGGTCTGGCCCCGCTGGCTGGAGCTGGACTGGACGTAGCAGGAGCGGTAGACTTCAGCTCCTTAGTGGAGCAGTAGAGCGGTACCTGAATTGGCACCGATGACTTAGGCACGGCTTGTGCCGGACTGACGACTCGCACCCCTGGCTTGGTGCGAGTGGCAGGAACGGGCGGGGCCGGGCTGGCGACGCGCACCGTAGACTTGGTGCGAGTGGCAGGAACAGGCCGGACCGGGCTGGCGACGCGCACCGTAGACTTGGTGCGTGGAGCAGGGACAGGCCGGACAGGGTTGGCGACGCACACCGCAGGCTTGGTGCGTGGAGCAGGGACAGGCCGGGCAGGGCTGGCGACGCACACCGTAGGCTTGGTGCGTGGAGCAGGAACAGGCCGGGCTGGGCTGTCGACGCACACCGTAGGCTTGGTGCGTGGAGCAGGGACAGGCCGGGCTGGGCTGTCGACGCACACCGTAGTCTTGGTGCGTGGAGCAGGAACAGGCCGGGCAGGGCTGGCGACGCACACCGTAGGCTTGGTGCGTGGAGCAGGAACAGGCCGGGCTGGGCTGTCGACGCACACCGTAGTCTTGGTGCGTGGAGCAGGAACAGGCCGGGCAGGGCTGGCGACGCACACCGTAGGCTTGGTGCGTGGAGCAGGTACAGGCCGGGCTGGGCTGTCGACGCACACCGTAGGCTTGGTGCGTGGAGCAGGGACAGGCCGGGCTGGGCTGTCGACGCACACCGTAGTCTTGGTGCGTGGAGCAGGGACAGGCCGGACAGGGCTGGCGACGCACACCGTAGGCTTGGTGCGTGGAGCAGGGACAGGCCGGACTGGGCTGGCGACGCACACCGTAGTCTTGGTGCGTGGAGCAGGGACAGGCCGGACAGGGCTGGCGACGCACACCGTAGGCTTGGTGCGTGGAGCAGGGACAGGCCGGACTGGGCTGGCGACGCACACCGTAGGCTTGGTGCGTGGAGCAGGAACAGGCCGGACCGTACTGGGAACACACACCACTGGCCTTAAACGGGGATCAGGAACGGGCCGGACCGGACTGGCAATACACCTCAGTACCTCTCGCCGTGCCTCTACAACTTCCTTCCCTCCTCTCGCCAATGGCTCCCGTAACCCGGTGGCCTTCTCTCCTCGTCTCCCATTTCGCCCTGTGGCAGCCTCCTGCTGCCCAGTCGCCCATGCCGTGTGCCCCCCCCTAAAAAATTATTGGGGGTGCCTCTCGTCCTTCCGACAATGGCACTGCTGACGCCGCTGCTCCTCTCCTGCCTGGGTCTCCCCCTTCATAGCCCTCCGGTACCGGACGGCCTCCTCCTCGGTAATCTGCCCCCAACCGAGGAGGACATCCACAAGAGTCACCTCCTGCGTGTGTTCCTGGACACGCTGCTTGGTCCTGGTATGGTGGGTTTTTCTGTCACGATCGTCGTCCGAGTGAGTAGACCAAGGCGCAGCGTGTGAAACAAACATGACTTTATTTAATTAAAGTTATCAAAACAAAACACGACTCGTGAAGTCCACGGTACAGTCAGTGTCCAGATTTCAGTTTCCATTTAACCCATCTGAACAGTAGGCTACAGTTCCCTTGACGTGCCATAGGCCTATTTGAAGTCCCCGTCTTGTGACTGTCGAATTTATATAGCGCCTCACAATCATCACACATAGCATAGCCGGCCGGCACTGGTATAATTCTCTACCACTTCACCAAATCTTTCCCAAACATGACTTTTCTGGCCCTCCCTTCTCTTTAGTTTCAACTCTCCATTTCGCAGCTTTTCTCTTATTGTATTAAACTCCGACATTGTCCTTTTTGCCTCCGTGGATTGACGTTAACTTTTTCTGCCCGTTCCCAAAAGCATTTGGTGGTTGGCGTGTAGGCTATTTGGCGCATTTGCACTTTGGCCTTAAAGCTTAGGCTTACGCACTAATGCCAGGTAGCCTAAAATAATGAAAGAAAAACCTCAATGTAGCCTATAGATCTAAATTGCACAAGAATGATAAATGAATGGATTTTTTGATGTATTGTTTTCTCTTTATTCAGCCCGCCTGCCAACCACCCGCCCTTCATCCAGACAATATTGAATGACCCTAAACCCGTCCGCCCAGCTGATATAACCACATCACTAGTGCAAATCTCAAATGCGCTAATGAGTCAATCTCAAAGGACTCATTAGGCATCAGAAAATGCTTTGGTCAAAAGAGCGTTATGCCAGTAATCCAAAGGTCGCTGGTTCGAATCCCCGAGCCGACTAGGTGACAGTTGCCCTCATACCATACCTTTGATATCTCCCATCTCTACTACCTGGGTCTGTTTACAGGGTTATTGTGGCATACATATCCATCTCCAAGAACAGCACTGTGGATTCTGTCATTAAGGAGGTCCTCACTCAACTGGGAAGACAGGTACAGATTACCAGCAGGTCACCAACATAACACAACCACTCCACCTTAAATACAGCTTGGCACAAGTACTGTATGGGCGGCAGGTAGCCTAGCGGTTAAGAGCGTTGGGCCAGTAAGTCGCTCTGGATAAGAGCGTCTGCTAAATGCTTCAAATGTAAATGTATTGTACCCGAAAGTTTAAATTAATGGTTGAACTATTGCTCTGACTATATAAATGTATCTGTTAATGACAACTCTAGTTCAATACTCTTGTTTGGTGATGCTCTTTTCTCTAGGATGAAGACCCATCAAGCTTCAATCTTGTGGAAGTTTACATGGGCAGTAAGCAAGGTAAGGAAATAGGAAACAGGAATATGTCTGACCTATACATCAATGCTGGCCTTTTACATAGCATAAGATGTCTCTTACTCTGTTGATATGCCTTCATTACTGTATCAAAGTTCACTGATGGTGTGCGTTCTTTCTTTCTTTCTTTCTCCACATCCAGTTCAGAGACAAGTGCTAACAGGCCAGGAGCTGCTGCTGGACAAACTGCAAGAGATAAGAAAGGTATAGTATGAGGAACTTCGACCTGACATTCAGGTTTATGGGTCATTGGGGGTGCGTATGTGTGTGTAGGTGTTTATGAACAGGAGTGTCTGTCACGATCGTCGTAAGCAACGGACCAAGGCGCAGCGTGATATGCGTACATCTTTTAATGAGTACTTAATAACAATTTACTAAACGATACGTGAAGTCCTAAGGTTAACAAAACACAAACCTCTCCGGAACAAGATCCCACAAAAGACAAGTGCACAACAGGCTGCCTAAGTATGGTTCCCAATCAGAGACAACGAGCCACAGCTGTTTCTAATTGGGAACCACCCCGGCCAACATAGAAACACATAAACTAGAACAAGAACATAGAAAACGAAACATAGAACCTAACACCCAGAAACTAACACATAGAAACTAATACCCTGGCTCAACATATAAAAGTCCCCAGAGCCAGGGCGTGACAGTGTGTGTTCAATCTGTATCCTTTTGCTTCTGACAGATCTCCCTAAGGCAGATGAACCAGACCCGTTTCTACATAGTGGAGAGCAGGAACCAGGTTGTGCAGGTCAACCTGCTGGTAGAGAGACTGCCTATACAGCTGAGCAAGGAGGAATATGCAGACCTGCTGCAGGAGCACTTAGCTATGAAGAGTGAGTCTACACACATCGGATCATGATTCCGCTCCTTTGCAATAAATAAAACGGACGGAATCCCACTGGGTTCAGTGCCGTCCCCCTTTCATTTCACTTTACCCCAGAGATCCTCCTGAACATTTTCCTTGAAATGGACTATAGTTGATTTAAATGTGATTAAGACTGTTGTTAACTGACTAGATGTGAATCTGCTCTCCTCTTCTCCCCTGCTCCATAGGTCACTTGGTCACCATCACACATGTTTACGGGAACCAAGGTGGGTACGTCGCCATGGAAACAGCCAATGGAGCACCACCCTCCGTTCTCCACCCCCCATCCATCTCGTCCCCCTCTCTCATCCTGCTGTCCACTCCCTGTTGTCACACTTTCTTCTCCCCACAATCCCCTCCCTGTCCCCTTCCCTATGCCCTCATTCCACATCATCCCCAGACGGCCTGTTCTGGGCCGTGTCTCTGCTTGACACTGCTCAAGTCACTGCTGTGTTGCCGCAGGCCACTGCAGCAGGTTCCTGCCCCATTCAGTGTTACATAAGTCCCTTTCTTACAGACTGTGAGTGCCCCACTGCTGCTGCCACTGCCCAAGAGCTAAATGGTCCATTTATAGCACGCCTTCTGTATAGCCCACAGCCATTTATCTTGTGATGTCTTTATTATAATAAACAATTTCAACGTGGAGCACTTTTAGTGTATTACATACAAAGTGCTAAATGTCATCATAACATTGAATGTGGGAGTTCATCGATTCCGAGGTTTGCCTGTCTGTCTATCTGTCTGCGTTGAAGGTGCAGTGGTGTTGCAGATATCGTGTTTCTCTGAGGCTGAGAGGATCTACATGTTAGCCAAAGACACGTCTGTCAGCAACCAGCAGCTCACCTCCCTCGTCCTACCAGAGATCATGGTAATGCTACGTCAATGTGACGTAAACAAACCCAGATCACAGTTGAAAGTGTAATTTACGTGAACTGAACTTTGAAAGAAGCTGGCTTGCTTTACTCCATTGACAGTGCTGTTGTTGTAACTCCCCTGCAGCACAACAAGTTGCCCAAAGGTGACTCGCCCCTACTGGTGTTTGTCAACCCCAAGAGCGGCGAGCTGAAGGGCCAAGAGCTCCTCTACGGCTTCCGGAAGCTTCTGAACCCCCACCAAGTGTTTGACATGACCAACGGGGGACCATTGTCTGGGTGAGACAAATGGTGGTTATCCTCATTCAGCAGTGTGATGTCAGAGCTGTTGTGTTTGTAGAAGGGGGGTCTGTGTTGTGCAATGTTATTTTTCCCGCAAGGTCTTTGGAAATTGTTTTGTCTACCATGTATGTTTGTGAGCCATGACACGGACACAAAGAAATGTCAACCAGTGAATATATGATTGACAATAAATATATATATTGTTATATACACTGAGTATACCAAAAATTAGGAACACCATCCTAATATTGAGTTGACTCCAATGCTTCCCACGGTTGTGTCAAGTTGGCTAGATGTCCTTTGGGTGGTGGACCATTCTTGATACACATGGGAAAGTGTTGAACTTGAAAAACCCAACAGCGTTGCTGTTCTTGACACAATCCGGTGCGCCTGACACGTACTACCATACCCCGTTCAAAGGCTCTTAAATCGTTTGTCTTGCCCATTCACCCTCTGAATGGCACACATCACAATCCATGTCTCAATTGTCTCGAGGCTTAAAAATCCTTCGTTAACCTGTCTCCTCCCCTTCGTCTACACTGATTGAAGTGGATTTCACAAGTGACATCAATAAGGGATCATAGTTTTCACCTGGTCAGTCTATGTTTTGTATACTCCGTGTATGTCATTTTCTATGTAACAGATATATCTAACTAGGCTACAAATCTAACTTGTATTTTTCTTCTATCCTCCACAGACTCCACATGTTTAGGGAGGTGCCCCGCTTCCGGGTGCTGGTGTGTGGGGGAGATGGGACAGTGAGCTGGGTCCTGGGAGTCCTGGAGGACATCAGACACAAGCTGGTCTGTCCCGAGCCCCCCATCGGCATTGTCCCACTCGGCACAGGTGAGCGGGACCCCTGAGGACACACCATTCTCTTCTAATTGCTGTAGTGTGCATAGGTTAGCTTTAATCAGCTCACATCAGTAGTTGAACTATTGGATTTAAGATTTTTTCCCAATAATCCCCCCCTAATGCCTCCCATCAGGTAACGACCTGGCGCGGATCCTGCGCTGGGGGGCGGGCTACAGCGGAGAGGACCTCCACCACATCCTGGTGTCTGTGGACGAGGCGGAGGAGGTGCAGATAGACCGTTGGACTATTCTGCTGGATGCACAGGAGATCACAGATGACGGCAAGGAGAACTGCTTCCTGGAACCACCAAAGGTCCAATCAGAATAATGCAGTTTTGATTCATGTTTTTGCCATTATAGTTTTATTGTTTACTTTCGCAATATAACAATGCACACAAAACAATAACTTGACAAACATGAATAGAAATAGAAAGACATGATTTATGTTATAACTATTGCCATTGTTATAACAACATTGCCATTTAATCGATGCATGAGTGCACTTGTTGGCGTTGCCGTTCAACTGGTGGTCTCCCTTGTTGCAGATAGTGCAGATGAACAACTATTTTGGGCTGGGCATCGATGCTGAGCTCAGTCTGGACTTCCACCATGCCCGTCAAGAGGAACCAGGAAAGTTCAACAGCAGGTAGGAGACCACCTCCGGTGAGAAGTTGCTTTTTAAAATATCCCCAAAAAGGGAATATCCCCAAAACGACTTATCTTTGGTGTCTGTGTAGGTTCCACAACAAAGGTGTGTACCTGAAGGCGGGTCTGCAGAAACTGAGTCACACACGGAACCTTCACAAGGACCTCAAACTGCAGGTGGACAAACAAGACATAGAACTGCCCAGCATAGAAGGCCTCATCTTCCTAAACATCCCCAGGTAGCAAATACACACACAAGCACAAACGGCTAAACTCTACACACGGCTGACAATCAGACACTCATGACGCATGACATTCACTTCAAGATGCATGCTCCTAAAGAAGAATGGCCTCACGCACTGGCTTATACACACTGGCCCCTGACCCACTCACACCTTAAGTACGTACATATTGATCGGAAACACTGCACTTACAACTGCGTGTGTGTAGCTGGGGCTCCGGGGCAGACCTGTGGGGATCAGAGGGTGACTCGCGCTACGGGAAACCTCGCATTGACGATGGCATGCTGGAGGTGGTGGGGGTGACCGGGGTGGTACACATGGTGAGTTCATCACTCACTACAAGTCTTTCCTTACTCTGTTGAGTATGTCCTGTTACCACAAAGAAGAGATCAGCGTTAAACCTTATCCCAGTGATACAGAATGTTTTATCCAGATCAAAATGTAAAAAACGGTCATTGATATGTAGTGTATATACTCTCATTGGCCAGTTTATTAGGTACACCAGTCCGTTCACAAAAATGGATCGCTCCTACAGACAGTGAGTCACGTGGCCGTGGCTTGCTATATAAAACAGGCAGACGGGCATCGAAGCATTCAGTTACTGTTGGATTTGAACGTTAGAATGGGCTAAATGAGTGACCTAACCGACTTTGAGCGTGGTATGATCGATGGTGCCAGGCACGCCGGATCCAGTATCTCAGAAACGGCCGCCCTCCTGGCCTTTCACGCACAACAGTGTCTAGGGTTTACAGAGAATGGTGCGACAAACAAAAAAGTCAGCGGCAGTCCTGTGGGTGAAATGAGAGAGGTCGAAGGAGAATGGCAAGAATCGTGCAAGCCAACATGCGGACCAAAGACAAACAGAACGGCATCTTGTGCAGAACGGCATCTCGTCACGGGTGGGCTATTGCAGCAGACGTCCACACCGGGTTCCACTCCTATCAGCTAAAAACAAGAAGAAGCCCTCCACAGCCTCATAGAGGATCTAGATACATTTTCTAACCTCTCTGGGTTACAACCAAATTATGATAAATGTACTATATTACGTATTGGATCACTAAAAAATCCAATTTTGACATTACCATGTAGTTTACCAATAAAATGGTCTGATGGTGATGTGGATATACTCTGAATACATATCCCAAATGAAATAAATGATCTCACTCCAATACATTTGAATAGAAAGTGAGCAAAAATAGATAAGATCTTGCTACCATGGAAAGGTAAATACCTGTCAATTTACCCTGATTAAGTCTTTAGTATTATCCCAGTTTACCTATTTGCTTATGGTCTTGCCTACGCCTAGCGAACAGTTTTTTAAATTATATTTGGAACGGCAAGCCAGACAAAATTAAACGGGCCTATTTATATAATGAATATGAATTCGGAGGACAAAAATTATTAAATATTAAAGCATTAGACCTATCACTAAAAGCTTCAGTCATACAAAAGTTATACTTAAATCCGAACTGGTTCTCTAGCAAATTAGTAAGATTGTCTCACCCAATGTTCAAGAATGGCCTTTTTCCTTTTATTCAGATTACAACCTCTCACTTTCAGTTATTTGAAAAGGAAATCATCTCCCAAATATCACTATTTCTAAAACAAGCCATAGAAAGTTGGTTGCAACGAAATGACAGATCAAATAATGCAACAAATATTGTGGTTAAACTCAAATATACTAATTGATTAAAAAAATGTTATTTTTAGAAAAATCTTTTAAAAAGGGATAATCTTCGTAAATGATATCATAGGTAGGACTGGTGGAGTTATGACGCACATACAGCTAACAAAAACATATGGAAATGTCTGCTCTACCCAAAATTACAACCAAATAATTGCAGCATTACTGCAAAAATGGAAGAGGAAAGTGGAAGGTGGAGAAAGTAAGGAACTTGTCTGTCGGCCCTGCATTAAAGAACATAATTGGTTTAAAGAAAATTGTGATAAATAAAAAAGTATACCAGTTTCATTTAAGGACCAAAGGATTGACACCCGTCCCATATAGATTGCAAAATAGTTGGGAAGAGATTTTTGACGTACCGATTCCATGGCATAATGTTTATGAATTGATACGCACATTTTTCAATTTAAATTATTATACAAAATTATTGCTACCAATAGAATGTTATTTATATGGGGGATACGATCTTCCCAGCTCTGCAGATTTTGCTGCGAAGAGACAGAATCATTAGATCATTTGTTTTTGGACACAGGTCCAGAAATGGCTAAAGGATTGCAATATTTACTTGGAGCTAACCCTGCAGATAGCACTACTGGGTGATCTGAAAAGTCATAGTCAATCGATCAATAATATAATAACAACAAGATAACTAATGTAAAGCATACTGTGTCCATAATAAGTATATAGGTTATAGGTTGAGAGTTTTTGTGAAAGAGCACAGATAGAAAGATATGGCATATAGAAGCAAACCGGATGGACATCATGAAAATGATCGGAGAGTTTGAGGCTAGAGGAAGTTCAGGAGTAAAAACAAACAAAATATAATTATTGTAAAATTTATTGTGTCCATAAAATGTATATAGTATGTATAAGCTGGAAGTAGAGGCCTAAGCATTGTTGTTCACTAGTTTACTCCAATTAGGGAAGGGGTGGTGGGGTTGGAAAGTAATAAAGGGAAATATATATTTTAAAAGGATATGTATAAATATGTATGTACAGTGGCTTGTGAAAGTATTCACCCCCCTTGGCATTTTTCCTATTTTGTTGCCTTACAACCTGGAATTAAAATTGATTTTTTGGGGGGTTTGTATCATTTGATTTACACAACATGCCTACCACTTTGAAGATGCAAAATATTTTGTGTGAAACAAACAAGAAATAAGACAAAAAAACAGAAGACTTCAGCGTGCATAACTATTCACCCCCCCCCCAAAGTCAGTACTTTGTAGAGCCACCTTTTGCAGAAATTACAGCTGCAAGTCTCATGGGGTATGTCTCTATAAGCTTGGCACATCTAGCCACTGGGATTTTTGCCCATTCTTCAAGGCAGAACTGCTCCAGCTCCTTCAAGTTGGATGGGTTCCGCTGGTGTACAGCAATCTTTAAGTCATACTACAGATTCTCAATTGGTTGAGGTCTGGGCTTTGACTAGGCCATTCCAATACATTTAAATGTTTCCCCTTAAACCATTCGAGTGTTGCTTTAGCAGTATGCTTAGGGTCATTGTCCTGCTGGAAGGTGAACCTCCGTCCCAGTCTCAAATCTCTGGAAGATTGAAACAGGTTTCCCTCAAGAATTTCCCTGTATTTAGCGCCATCCATCATTCCTTCAATTCTGACCAGTTTCCCAGTCCCTGCCGATGAAAAACATCCCCACAGCATGATGCTACCACCACCATGGTTCACTGTGGGGATGGTGTTCTCGGGGTGATGAGAGGTGTTGGGTTTGCGCCAGACATAGCGTTTTCCTTGATGGCCAAAAAGCTCAATTTTAGTCTCATCTGACCAGAGTACCTTCTTCCATTTGTTTGGGGAGTCTCCCACATGCCTTTTGGCGAACACCAAACGTGTTTGCTTATTTTTTTCTTTAAGCAATGGCTTTTTTCTGGCCACTCTTCTGTAAAGCCCAGTTCTGTGGAGTGTACGGCTTAAAGTGGTCCTATGGACAGATACTCCAATCTCCGCTGTGGAGCTTTGCAGCTCCTTCAGGGTTATCTTTGGTCTCTTTGTTGCCTCTCTGATTAATGCCCTACTTGCCTGGTCCGTGAGTTTTGGTGGGCGGCCCTCTCTTGACATGTTTGTTGTGGTGCCATATTCTTTCCATTTTTTAATAATGGATTTAATGGTGATCCGTGGGATGTTCAAAGTTTCTGATATTTTTTTATAACCCAACCCTGATCTGTACTTCTCCACAACTTTGTCCCTGACCTGTTTGGAGAGCTCCTTGGTCTTCATGGTGTCGCTTGCTTAGTGGTGTTGCAGACTCTGGGCCTTTCAGAACAGGTGTATATATACTGAGATCATGTGACAGATCATGTGACACTTAGATTGCACACAGGTGGACTTTATTTAACTAATTATGTGACTTCTGAAGGTAATTGGTTGCACCAGATCTTATTTAGGGGCTTCATAGCAAAGGTGGTGAATACATATGCACGCACCACTTTTCCATTATTTATTTTTTAGAATAATAAAAAAAAAAGGTTATTTTTTTCATTTCACTTCACCAATTTGGACTATTTTGTGTATGTCTATTACATGAAATCCAAATAAAAATCCATTTAAATTACAGGTTGTAATGCAACAAAATAGGAAAAACGCCAAGGGGGATGAATACTTTTGCAAGGTACTGTATATGTATTTATATGTATGTATGTGTATATGTGTGTATATATATATATATATATATATATATGCGAGAGAAAAAAACATATGGGGGATTGGAAGTGATGCAGACAATTACATTGATGGAAGTTACAATCTATCTGCAATATTAAAGCTGATCTACCCCCTTTAAAAAAAAAAACGGCTCCAGTGGGCACACGATCACCAACACTGGACAATTGTGGAGTGGAAAAACATCTGGTCTGACAAATCCCAGTTCCTGTTGCGTCATTGCAGACTCAGGATTTGGCGTAAGCAGCATGAGTCCATGGACCCATCCTGCCTGGTGTCAACAGTACAGGCTGGTGGCGGTGGTGTACCGCCGTCCAATCTGCAGCAACTGCATGATACCATTGCATCAGCATGGACCAACATCCCTGTGGAACGTTTACGACTTGTAGAATCCATTCCCCGAATTATTCAGGCTGTTCTGGTGGCAAAGGGTGGTCTGATCCAGTACTAGCTGGGTGTACCTAATAAACTGGCCGGTGTATTGATGTATAGCGTTAAAATCAGTATAGCAGTAATACTTTTTGTATACATGTACTGTAAAAAGTTATATCTATATGTGTGTTGTTTTGTCCAGGGCCAGGTGCAGAGCGGCATGCGCTCTGGGATCCGTCTCGCCCAGGGCAACTATGTGCGTATCACGGTGACCAAGCCCATCCCTGTGCAGGTGGACGGAGAGCCCTGGATCCAGGCCCCCGGACATATCATCATATCTGCAGCAGGCCCAAAGGTAACAGCTTTTTGTTACTATATTGGGACAAATAGTTACAATTTCACTGTGGTATCCTTCACTATGGTTGCGAACCTCCCATACCTATCTATAAAGTCAACAGCTATTAAGTAATCGTGTCCTTGTTGTTGTGTTCAGGTGCGGATGCTGAGGAAGTCCAAACACAAGCAGAAGCAGCAGTGTGCCAGCCTAAAAGAGGGGAGATCTGAAAGCCCTTCGTCCAGCGATGGGGGACACTGACGCCCCCCCCACCCTGCCACCCAACATCTGCTCCTTGGTGTCTCCATGAGAGCATGGTGGTCTGTTGGCTGCTCTAAACAGTGCCCAATAGGTTCTCAGATGGTTTGTGTAGTTAGCACATACAGCTCCACTCCATTGACAAAGGAGAGATATCACAAGCATTTAGCAGTCACTCCCATTCTCATCTTACTGCTTATCAATTTCACCGTTGTTGGGTTCGGTTTTCCCCAGTTAGGATCCTTCAGATTAGCTTCTTGTCTAATTTGTTGGTTTATTTTTTATTTTACAGTCCTTCAGAGTTGGTATGGCCTGGTATTTTATGAGAGACATACATGGTAACAATTGGTAGTGGTACTATCTGGTACTTATTAAAAATGATTAAATAATACATTTTGAAACGATAGTTACCGGAGTTGTAACTCCAGTTCTATGAGTGGAGCGGAGCCCCATAGGGGAGCTCTGCTCCTGTTGGTTTACCCCGCTGCCTAGGCAGAGAACAGCCTGAGACAAAATTATGCACACACCTGCAGCCAATAGGAGTACAGGTGTCCCTATAAGAGGGGATGCCTCCCCACAATCAGCCTCCCGAGAAATTATCTTCAGCGAGACTAGAGAGGGTCGGCAGGGCCTTAAGTCCAATGGGGCTCCGCTCCACTCATAGAACTGGAGTTACAACTCCGGTAACTATCGTTGTGTATCGTGGAGCTCCACCCCATAGGGGAGCTCTGCTCCTATTGGTTTAAGCCGGAGCGCAACGCTCCAAAATGTACTCCCTGCCGAGCCCAACACTTCCCATCGAAATGAAATGGTCGGGCCTAGCAATGGCTGCGACCAAGTCCCACAGTACTGTAACACACTGTGTCACAATATACTGTGTCCTCGGTACAAATCCGCCCCACCTAGTCCAATGGCATTGCCAATGTCTAGTGGGCAGATAACCAGAATATGAGTCATACTAACCTGAACCAGCAGATAGATGACGTCACAATTCCGTCAATATTTTATGACCGGTTCAATAGTAATGTAACAAAGTTACAAAAACTATTTCCCTCATCATTCCGCCCCAACCCAGTAATACTGGTGGGCAGATCAATAACATTCCCTCTACTATACTGAACATGTCAGTCAGGAGTCATGTCATATATGTGGGGGGAAGCCCACAGCTCCACGGTCTGTGATCTATATGAGCTCTTAATAACTTTCGGCATAAATGCCGGGTTAGGACGTAACACCGCTCTGCTCAAATCGCCATTAATGGCAAGGCAGTCGGGTCTCGTTGAAAGAGCACACAAATCACTGACACGCTTAGCAGTAGTCAAAGCGAGCAACAGTGCTGTCTTTAAAGACAGCATCTTGAGAGGTATTTGGTTCAATGGTTAGAACGGCGACTCACAGAGCGCTTCGAGTACCAGAGCCAAATCCCACTGAGGAACCGTGGCCCTAGGCGTTGGCCTAAGCCTCCGTGTTCCTAAAAGGAAACGTTTCACCAGAGGGTGGCTGAAGACAGTGTCTCTGCCAAACCCCTCATGACAAGCCGAAATCGCCGCTGCAAACACCTTAATGGTGGCGGGCGAACGTTGCTTATCAAATAAAAACTGTAGGAACGAGAGAACACTCTCAACCTGACAGCACACGGGGTCCACATTTTCTGTGGCACACCACTGTGAAAACACGTTCCATTTACTGGCATACACCCTGGAAGTGGAACTGGCACGTGAACCCTGTATGGTCCTGATTACAGAATCAGATAACCCACAGCGCTCTAGCCTGTCCCTCTCAGGAGCCAAGCCTTCAGTGGTTGGCCGATTATGGGCAATTGCCATATCGCACCTCCCGCCTGAGACAACGCGTCCCGTTGATGTGGAATTGGCCAAGGTGGCGCAATCAACATCTGAATCATCTCTGTGAACCATGGAGCCCCTGGGCGATCGGGAGCCACCAATATGATTGACAACCCACCTGATCTCACCCTGGCTAACAGTGGGAGAATGCAGGACAGCGGTGGGAAAGCATACAGGAGAACTCTCTGCCATGGTCTGTGCGCAAATGCGTCCCTCCCCAGTGGCGGTTCGTCCTGAGCTCGAACCAAAGAGGGCAATGCGCGTTCACGTGTGACGCGAATAGATCCACCTCAGCTCTCCCGAAACCGTTCCCAAATCTGGGACCCCCTCGAGACATTACATTTACATTTTAGTCATTTAGCAGACACTCTTATCCAGAGCGACTTACAGTTAGTGAATACATTATTATTATTTTTTTTATACTGGCCCCCCGTGGGAATCGAACCCACAACCCTGGCGTTGCAAACGCCATGCTCTATCAACTGAGCTACATCCCTGCCGGCCATTCCCTCCCCTACCCTGGACGACGCTGGGCCAATTGTGCGCCGCCCATGAGTCTCCCGGTCACGGCCGGCTGCGACAGAGCCTGGATTCGAACCAGGATCTAGTGCCTTAGACCACTGCGCCACTCAGGAGTACATGATGTCTGCCCCTACGTTCAAGTAGCCTGGAATGTTTGTTGCTCTCAATGAGCGAAGGTGCTCGTGAGCTCACAGCCACAATTCCTCCGCCGCCCAGTGGAGTGCAGGAGACCTGACTCCTCCCTGGCGATTGATGTGGGCTACTGTGGTTCGGTTGTCTGACCAAACCAGCACATCCCGACCCCGAAGGGTAGATGCGAAGTGGGTCAGAACCAGTAGAACCGTTTCCAACTCTAAGAGGTTGATGTGACGACTCGAAAGAGGCCACACACCTCCTATCGCTTGGGTCTGACATGTCCCTCCCCATCCCGTCAAGAGAGGCATCTGTAAACACTGGAATGTAGGAGGACACTTTGCCTATTGGGACTCCGTGCGTGAGAACACGCGGGTCTCTCCAATAGTTCAGATCTGCACTGAGCGAGAGAGGAACCACCACCAACCGATGACGTTGACACACTGGGTCTAGTCGTAGTTGGGCGAACCACGCTGTATTCTGCGCATGCGCAGAAGTCCCAGCGGAACCACGAAATGGGCCGACGACATGAGACCCAAGAGTGACATGACCGAAAGCGGCGTTACTGTGTGATTCGGACGAAACCGTCGTAGGGCTAGCAACATAGCAACCCTTCGAGGGTCCGAAATTCGAGCCCTCATCGTTACAGTGTCGATCTGTATCCCCAGATAGACAATCTGATGACTGGGCCAGGGTGCGCTCTTTTTCCAATTCACAGCGAACCCCAGACGTGTGAGATGAATCACTGTCTGTGTTGTGTGAGTGAACGCCAGCTCTGCTGACGGGGCGAGAACCAGTAGGTCGTCTAGGTAGGCTAGTAGCCTTATTCCCTGATGACGCAACGGTTCAAATGCCGCCTCCACACATTTGGAAAACGTGCGAGGTGCCAGGGCGTACCCGAATGGCATCCTCGTGAACTCGTACGCCACCCCTTGAAAGGCGAATCGCAGAAACTTTCTGTGACGCGGCTGCACCGGCACATGAAAGTACGCATCCTTTAGGTCTATGCCCGTACAAAAGTCTCCCTTCTGGACACCTTCCAGTAGACGGTTTGTCGTTAGCATTCGGAAGGGCCGTTTGGCTACGCTCTCGTTGAGAATGCGTAAATCCAATATCGGCCTCATTCCCCCCATCTTTTTGGGCACCAGGAAATAGGGCGGAAATAGCCCTTTGTTCCTTTGCTCCTGGGGAACTACTGTGACCGTCTCCTTCACCAAAAGTTCCGTAATCTCTGAAACCAGAGCGGCCACTTTTTCGGGCGTTTTCATCACCGTCTCCACCACCCCCCTGAACGGCGCTCTATCGGCTTCCTTCATAGTCGTCAATGACAACCATAGGTGTCGTTCCACAGCCACCGAAGTAGCCATGGACCTCCCCGCACAGACAGCCGACGCTTGCGTCAGGTGGAGAATAGCGGCAGAAATCCTGGCCGCCTCTTCCACTTCCTCCCTGCCGAGCTCAGTCTTACCCGTCGTTAGACGGGACAGAGAGGCCGCTAGGAGGGCAATATTATTGGCTGCTGCTACAGCCTGGGCTCCCAACGTAAAATACTTCTCTACCAGCCGTGCTGTGAGTCGGTCCTTTTGCGTTGGCAGAGTGGCCTTCTTGGAAGAGGGCCAGGGACTCGAACCCGGCACGAGATACGCCACTAGGGCGCTCTCCAGCCTGGGGATTCCCTCCGTGAGGCCCTGTTGCCTTCCCTCCACTCTGGTAAATGGGAGATACGCCTTGGCTGGCGAACGCGCCTCCATAGGCACCTCCCATGAGCCCTCCGCGTATTTAGCCAATGAGGGCATTGCTGGAGCCAGAGGCTCAGCCGCCCTTCTTGGTCTGGAATACGGGCCGCCCTCCATCATATTCATTTCCGGTACGGCGGGAATGGGGGGCAGTGCAATTTCTAGCCGTCTAGCAGCCCTCTCAATAAGCCCAGGGAAGTCTGAGCGCAGAGAGGCCGCTGCGAAAGACAGGGCTTCTGACCTCTCAGAGCCTGTGTCTTCATCGCCCAGGGAAGAATAAGACCTCTCACTCTCCAAAGGAAAGGGGGTCTTAAAAGTCTGGGTCCTGAGACTGGACTGTTCCATAGGAACGTCCATCTCATCCCCATCATCCCTGTCATCCCCAGAGTCAGCCTCTCCAGATGACGCCTCAGAAGCTGAGGCCAAAACTGAGAGCACGTCCTCTAGGGGAATATCCTCCCTAAAAAATGCGCGCCGCTGCTTCCTCTCCTTCAAAGGAAGGAGGGCGCAGCTGGCGCATTTAGGGGGAACGCTGACGCCATCCTTGGCGTGCTGTGCACCCAAACACACAAAACATAGGTCGTGGGGGTCCGCAGCCGTCAAGGAGGCACAGCGGCATTGAGCTTTTGGGGGTGGAAAATCTCCTGGTGTGCTCATTTAGGACGACGTCGATGAAATGGAAAATCGACGGCATTTCTTCGTCCTGAGTCTTTTCTTCGTCTCTTCTTGGCTTCTTCAGTCTAGTCCAGTCGCTGAAGATAAAGGGAGGCTGATTG